AAATGTTGCTTTTTCGTTTATCTTATAAGTATGCCGTATAAACAGATTACAGGCGACAATTAAAATTGCAGATTCTGTGTCTGTCTTACGCATTTATTTGCCTTCTACAAGCAACATTAAAAAGTTTCAGCGCAATATTTCTCATTATTTTCGGCAATCAAGGGTATTTTTAAATTACCATATAAAATAAATTATTTCTTTTAATTTAAATTAAGTGGACATTAAATGACTTATGGTTAAGTTCTATATACTCTCTATATGGTTAAGTTCTTAAACGACTTTTAGTAAAATCAATGACTAGTAACGGTGTTAAAATTTGTAAAACAAAATGATTTAAATAATAAAAAGTGGATCTTGATAAACTGGAAAAATAATACATCAAAGTACAAAAAAAATGAAATCGAACTGTCCTTTGTAACATATTTTATAATGAAGAAAATATCCCACAAATAAATCTCTTTCTTCCTATCATTTAATTAAATTTCGTTTGTTGTCTGAAAAGAAATCGCTGAGTCATTGCAATAATTATTTAATCTTCATGCGAAACGTTTGATGACAACAAAAGGAGAAAGAAACGATACTCACCTTATAAAAAACTTACGTTAATCTAAGTAGGCATCTTACTAATTTGCCTGCACTTTTACTTCTACTTTTATGAACTCTCAGCAGAATGCAAATAATTTAAAGTAATTAACTAATTAGTAAATGCATAATTACTAAGTGCATTAGTAAATTAGTAAGTGCATAATTACTGAGTTTGAGAGGAAGGTTTTGCTAGCCTTGCTGATCTGTCACTGTTTATGTCTGGTACTACTTGATTTTATCACTTAAATTTCGGCAAGCAGCGTTTGCTCTGCGAATACTTAAGGGCCCAGCCAAACTGCATTTAGTTGTATGTTAATTTGTATTTCACATGTTAATTTGAATTCAACGTTTTGTTCTATAGTTCTCGCAAGCTGCGAAGTTGAGTTCTCTTATTATCTATATCAGCTTTCTGTAATCGTCAGTTTGACGTGTTAATAAATAGGTTTATTTAAACCTTCAGTTTGAGTTGTTTTCCAATTTTAGAGAAAAATATTTTAAATAATAAGAAATACTCATGGGTAAACTGAAAAACTGGTGGATAAATATACAAGAAGAGGCATTACAAGGTAATATAGGATAAAGAAAACATCTGAGTGTCTTTGCAGTTTTAGTAGTTTGGCATTTTGAAATAGGGTAGAACGGTACAAGTTTCCACCTTTTATCGTGAAACGTATGCTTGCTTATTATTATATAGATTTGGTGACTTTCTATGAAAAGACATAGCCAAAATTATATCCGGCCATAAAGCTGAGGTAATGTTGCTGGAAACTTTACTCTTTTACACGAAAAGCCTAATCTTCAATAATCTTAAACTTTTAATATAATAACTTTACTCTTTTACAGGAAAGTTATGTGCACACTACATAACTTCCTTGTAATTCCTTACTCCATTAAATGATAACTTTTTTTTACTGATTTTATTTTAAACATATTTCCTCGAATTATTGCAACTTAATTAATCGATCCCTCTAGGCAAATTAAAAATGACTTCGAAAATTGCAAATTTTGAAATTAAATATATTGGTCGATTTTCTCGTACGGGAATTAAACTTCATATAACTTTATTTTTTATAACGAATATAAAACTTTCTCGCACATAAATATACTAACCAGGAGACCACATTAAAAGTTAGATTTCTTTATTTCCCAAAAATTAATTTCTTTCTTAAATTTTAAATTGCAAAAACATGAAACATTTTATCATTTAAAATACTTCTGTAACTGGAAGTATATGTCTACGACCAATGATTGGGAAACTAAAGGCCGAGTAAAGATTTTAAGCCTGATAAGAGGGTGGGTATATGTATATCCCGATCTGTATATATATCTATAAATATATATCCTTTATATATATATATAAAGGCTGGGTAAAGATTTAGAGTAAGGGGTTGAGTAAGTATATATATATATATATATATATATATATATATATATATACATATATATGTGCAAAATATAAAAAATACGATGGCTTTGCTCTGCGCGAACAGGCAACCTCTAAGTAACTTTCCGAAATTTCAACCCTAAATTATGACAAATTATTTTCCCGATCTTGACCTTTTCCCACTCTGGCTCCTTTCCTGTCCTGCCTTTCGTTCTTCCCAGAGTTTTCCCGTTCAAAATTTGTTGTATACGCCCCTCTTCGCCCATGAGATGAGGAGAGGATAAACTCTAGCCCATTTTGCATTGCATTGAAAATTTAACCCTCATACCAGATTCTCAATAAAGAAGAATGTTTCTATACTTTTTTCGACACTAGATATTACACTATGTATGTGTATTACTAATTGCGTCCTCTTTTTAGAGAGGAAGTAAGAAGTGATAGCACGCGCCCGATGCCACATAGGTAATACTCCTGTCAAACCCTCAAACTTTTATCTTTTTATTTTTATTTTTATATTTTTTAGGAGAATCAACTATGGTTTAGAAACTGGCTTGGGTTTTGTATCTCTCTATACCAGCCACAATCTTCTTAGCATAGTTTTTCACAAAAGTGCTACCATAAACACACACACAAACACATATTTTTCACGTAATTTTAGAAAACAAAAATTTTCTTTTTTTTCTTTCCTTCTTTCTTTTCTTCTTGTTCTTCTTGTTATTCATTTCTAGTTTTCAAAATTCTAAAAAAGACTTTACCTAGATCACACAAGTTATTTTTCTTAAATTTTATTTTGTAGAACTTTGTATTTTTTACAAAACACTTTGATACAATGTACAATGCAAAAGCCAGTTACCTTTTATTAGGCAACCGTGGTTTTTTGATATTTTGTATTTAAGCACCCACAACCATCAGCAAATTAGTCACGCTGATTTGTTGGAGAGGACATTCCAAAAATTTATTCAATGTGTTATTGTCTTAACGAATATTGTATCATATTATGCGATTATATTGAATTGATTTCTTACGGTATATATCAATATTTGTAGAACTTTTATCCTTTAAATTGCAATGCATTTTAAACTACAATGAGAAGAATGAATGCAAGTAGTACATTACGCATAAATTGTATATCTTTTAAGTTTTATATGAAAAAAATGTAGCCCGAAAAATAGTTAAACATCTTCTATTCAAAACTTAACTATGGAACCATCTTTATTGAAAACACAAAGTTTATGACATTTCTGAACTTATTTTTGTTTTGTGGACTTACTGGCATCAAGAGACATCAAGAGACAAAAAACATTTCATTCAACTTCAACTATTTTTGTGAAGGCTTTAAAACAAAAATTTCACTTGAAATTGAGGAATTTATGATTGTAATTTATTATTTAGTATTATTCTTACATATATTATTGTCTTATTGATCTAAATGAGATATTTAGTTATAAATTATATGTTTATTTATAAATCATAGGTTCCATTGTAAAATTATGTAACTAAGCATTTTCTAATTATATGAGAAAGATCATGAGTTATGAAAGGGCATAGTTAAAGCCCGTAAGCTATGTCCTGGATGTTTTTCTTCATGTCTTTTCTCATACTTTAAATATTTCTTGCTTCACTAATGTACTAATGTTTTACTCTCCCGGCCTCTCGTTTTGAGGGGGGGAGGGGAGATGTAAAATATAAAAAATGCGATGGCTTTGCTCTACGCGAACCTCTAAGTAGCTTTCCGCAATTTCAGGATCTTCTCCCTAGATCAGTACTTTCGAGAACATTCCGGCATGTTACATAATCGCTGCTGTAAATGAAGAGTTAGCACCATTTTTCGCCAGATTGCTTTTCTCCGCCTGCCTCTGTAAAACCCTTTCGCTGCTGCTCTTCCCGTCTGTCTTCTTTGTTTGAATAGTATGACGCAGTAAATTTAGAGTTGATCACATTTAGTCTAAATTACTATCGCATATACTATCTTGAAAAATCTAAAAGAATAATCATCTGCCATTTTAAGTGAATAAAGATATGGAGTTTTAAAAAATGAAATATTTCGGAGTCATTATTTCTGCTCTCAGCTACTCAGCCATGTCCGCATTTTGATGCCAAGCTTCATTCATATGCTTGACTGCCAAAATATGACATATTTGGCTGTGGCAAAATATGACATTGCAATCGGCAATGCCAAAATATGACATTTGGCATTGCCGATTGAAATAAAAAAAGGAGGTGCTCAACAAGATGTTATAGCAAACAACCTATTTACTTTTTCCTAACCATTTGCTATATAAAGGGAAAGAACACGCCTTCGAAAATTACATATAAAATATAAACCCATGTCCTTTTCTGTTTGCTTAATTTCATATCATATCACCTGAAGATTCAATTAAGAAACAGTTTAGTTATTTACTTTGTAGAGGTTGAAGTTTCTAACAGTTATTTTAAGTTTAACATGATTTACTGTCTATTCTCGTTTCCCATGTACTATTCCCTACCAGAAAGAGTTTTTAATCTCGCGTTTTATGCAAATGAGTTAGAAGGAGTATTTAAGGAAGGTTCAGCTCACTTCGAAAGACTGAGTTTAGGTGTCCTTAGTGGTGCATACTTGCCGTCTGACTACTTCGTTTTTAAATTTACTACACTCGGCCTTATTGTACGCTCCCAATAATAATCACCGGGTAGGTGAAATTAAGGACCAAGTACGTTAGGTATTTGTGTCTAGCTTCGGCTAAGTCTGTTTAGTGTAGTGTTAGGTTAGTTTCTTATTTTCTTATCTTGAGTTTAAAGTTCGAGTGGAGGATTTCCAGTAAACCCGAGAAATGATTGAATCTTTGAGTGAATAAAACTGCATTTTAAAACTACCTTGGACTTGATTATTATTCACATGAACTCAGCGATAAGTCGCTCTACATTTCATTAGGTTCCTTTACGTTCTACATAGACAAAATATCCAGGAACGGTATAACTTTAACTATTGTTCTCATAATAAAATGAAAACTAATCACAGGTTTTCATTAAATGAATCATTTTTATGTTTCAGATGAGTTGGGAGACTGCAAGGCTCAGTTGGGCGATGCCACGCGCAGAATACACGAGATGGACTTGGAGATCAAACGATTGGAGACTGAAAGAGAAGAACTGACCGCCGCCTACAGGGAGGCCGAATCCCTGAGAAAACAAGAAGAAGCCAAGGCTCAACGGCTAGCTCAAGAGCTTGCTCAATTGAGGCATGATTACGAGAAGAGACTGGCAGCTAAGGAAGAAGAACTGGAGTCACTTAGGTAAGTGAGGTATTATTATAATCGATTTAAAACTACACCTCTTACAGGATTACACTGAGAGATCGCATATGGGGATGCATATAGAGTTAGACGCTTTCAAAATGCATTACTTTTTATTTAATTGCAACCGCATCGTTTTGAAGTTTGTAAAGCCTGTAACAGCTTGACAATATGGAAAGCTCCTATCATTTGCATCAAATAGAATCTCACAAACCATCTTATATTTCGGGATGTTTTGGAGGATCATATAGTCATCAATTAAATTGTAAATTCATTAGGCCATATCGATGCAGAAACGTGAAATATATGCAGTGCCCTCACTGGGATTCGCCCTTTTGATCTCCCGAATGTACGCTTCGAGCGCGCTCCTAGTTACACCCCGAAGGCATGCGGAAAAGAGGGAGAAAATATTTCATATATTTTCCCTTTTTAAAGAGCGACTGGCAGTGAGGGAACCAATAATGCCAAATTATCGTCCACCACCTTTTTTTAAATCTGGTGCCACAGTAGAGTCTTTTAGAATTTTTTTGATGCCATGAAACTGAGAAACCTGCAATGCTCTCGGCTGCATTCGAACTTCGGACCTCCTGAAAACGCATAGGGCCGTGCTTCCAGTAACACCACGAACGCATGCAGCAGAAAAAAAAAAAGAAAATACCTTATAAAGTTGATCTGAATTCCGATGCTTTCCTTTAGAATATCTTAGGGTTGTTTGCAAAGATTATTTTCTTAAATGAACTCCAGAGCTGATAATGGTTGCAGCTAAATCACAATCAGCCTTTTCTAAAAGTTTGAAAAAGCAATTTTTGTTCAAGAAAAGTATAAGAAAGAAGTAAACAACTTCGGTTCCAGTGTTAGTTATCTGTTTGCAGACAAAAACCTGAGAACTGTTTCATAAACCGATCATTCTTTTAAAGAAACAGTTGGGCTGTTATTCATTTATCGACTATGGAATGTGGCATAACTTACAGAATATCTCAATAACTGGTTTATATACCATGCCAAAAAGACTAGATCGTATTTAGAAAAGTAAACTTAATCCATCAAAGCATGCTCTTCATTTATATTTAATAAAACAAGTGTTCTATTATTTCCGAGATATGATTTTATAGCTGAAAAAGGAAAATATTCATTTTCGACCTCAATATTTTATACTTGGAAAAATATTTAGTGTATTAAAAAAAATTCGCATTTCAAATTAAATCACAAAATCAAAATTTTTTAATTTCCACCTAATGAATGTAAAATTTTGGCATTAATTTTGGAAAACATAACTCTGCGATCGCGTTTATGACACACTGTATATTCTTTGTTTTGTTTCATTTTTAAGATATAATCTTAATCTTTGAACTTGTCATGAAGATTTTATGCAATGTGACATCAAACATTCGTAATTTTAATGGAATATTTGAAACAATATCGAACAAGCTTATAATTATTTATGTCCACGTATATAATTTATAATATACGTAGTAATATATAATTTTATTTTATCGTTTATTTTTTATTCTATCGGCAAATTTATGATAAAGCATTTAATATTCTTTAATAAAATCAATTATATTACATGGTATTCAACTGCCCAATAAAATACAATATTTAATCAAAAATTAAGAGGCAAACATTCAGCCAATTAGATTTTGTTTCCAAACGATCAAATGGACGTGATAGTTTACTTAAAGCTCGTTGCTATTTAGAGCATTGAACCAGCAGGAGATTATGAGCTGGCCACATCAGATATTTTCTTTGTTGAAACTGATATAAACTTTAGAATATACTTTGATATGTTTCAAATATTTTTATTCCTTTAAATTAAGCAAATAAAGTGTACAATAATTGTATTGTGGATTACTTAGGACTTTCAACAAGAGAAGTATTACCTTTTTAATGTGTCATATATGAAAGTATTACTATGAAACGATATAGCATACATGTACACTGCGCAAAAAAAAGGGGGGGATAGTTCTATATCTCTCGTTCTACTGGGCCGACTGACGAGATTCAAATTGCGTTTTTCAGGTCTCGAAAGCGCGACTTAGGATATATATTAAATTTGTATATAGCATTGTTCTAATATAATTATTTTGACACAAAATCAGATTTTTTCTGAAATAACATGCCAATTTTTTCCACATTTCGATTTTACGACTCAAATTATGCATAGATATTAAATTTTGAAATTTTTGGTGAAACATTTATGGAGAAATTAAAAAATTTATCTTGGCGAATTTTTATCTAGCTTGCGCCAAGAATAATTCACTTGGCGAACTTCTTAATTTATAGAAACTTATTTTATTTTGCCTTTTTCCTTTGAGCATGAACGGGAAGAAAAAGTCATCGTTCATACTTTCAAGTAATTTTAACAAAGTGCGTACACCATATTTTCATTATTATCGCTTATAATAAATACACCAAATTTAAAACGCGCCAAAATGTAAATCCACGTATATTTTAGGAACTGTTGAATAGAAAACTCTAAGGGGGGCAGGAGCGGAAAGAGCGACGGAGGGGAGGCAAAGGTGAGGAGAGGCAAAAGGTTCTTGGAAAAATAAAAATATTAAAAAGACCAAAAAAAATCAGAAAAATTGCGAGTGGATTAGAAGAACCTAGTCGAACGAGAAAGGAAGAAGCAGAAATTTAAAAAAGAGGGAAAAAATAGATCAAGTCATAAACAGGGGGAGTAATTTTTAAAAATACTGTGTATTTACAAGACTGGCAGTGGAAGAATTGAGGCGAGACTTGAGATAGAAAAATGCATTAAATTTAAAAGTCTATTTTAGCTATATCTAAATCTAATATATATTCTAAGTCGCGCTTTCGAGACATGAGAAACGCAGTTTGAATTTTGTCAGTTGGTCCAGTAGACCGGGAGATATAGAATTGTCCCCTTTTTCTTCGAAGAAGATTTGTGTTTTCATATTTAGAGAAGATAATTCTCCACATCAATCGGAAATTGCATAAAAAAAGTTAAAATACTCAAAATCATTTTGTAGATGAAACTATATTTCTGGAAGTGAGCAAGCATTTCGTTATACCTTGCTATCAAATTCTAGCATGCTACTTACTAATTAAGAGAAGTATTCAACTGAATTTTCCTATCGAATTAAGGAGTATGTTGACAGTCACCATTTCTCAGAATGGATATCTTTAGCTCGCGATTTGCCAGTTGGCTGAACATTGGCAGTTCATCCCGCATTTATTCTTGGGAGCTTACTTACTTATTCTTGGAAGAATAAGTAAAGCTGTTTTCCACATTAATAAAATAAATATCAGCCAGTTTCTTAAGCATAAATTCCAAATGAAAAAATCTCGAAAACAGTTCTTACATTAGCCAAATAAGCCTAGTTATATGATCAACTGTCTTGTAACACATAGACATAGTTAATTGTAAACATAGCAATACATTAGTTAACATTGTAACTGATAACATTAATTGTAACACATAACATTAGTTAACATTGTAGCACTGTAATACATAACATAGTTGACATTGTAACACATAGGTATAGAATGTTTAAGATTGCTGAACACTGGTTGTTCATCCCGAATTCTCAGCTACATGGGGATGAAGTTTTGTGACTTTTCTGTGCGTAACGGAAATTCCAGCGTATTCCTTTTCATTCTCCGAGAAGGAATATCTTTCGTTTCCCTTTCAACTCATAGGGCACTATTTGTGTAGCATTTAATTAATAATTTCTTCAGACCCTATTAAGCTCAAAAGCGAATTATCGCTACATCTGGAATTGTTTTAAAGGCTTGAAATAATCTTTTTAAAACTTGAATCGCACAAAATGCATAACTTATGCGTATAAATAAGTCCTGCCATTTGCGGATATTAAAAATGAGAAAACTGGAAATTAAAATTCAAGGTATTGTAGTCGAAGACTATACAGATTGGCTCACTTAAACTGGCTCAAAACTTTAAAGGCTCTAGCAAAATGTCTGAATCCGGAATATAAACTGGCAAAGCTAGTTGGTGGAAATTAAAGTTCGACCGCCTCTACCAAAAACTCTATTTCTAAAACATTCGAAACCCTATACGCTTCAATAAGGTTGGATTTCTGGTGAAGGCTGAAATCTGATCTGACAGAATGGATCGTCGTAGCTTTAGCAGATCTGGTATGTTTGAACGTGTCCGGCAGTTCTTTGTCCGTCGGTGTCGGCTGTGCAATGACCGCGGGTGCACTTTCGAACAATTGCTATAACACTGTTCCGTCATCTTTTTTCTGAGGTTAAACTGTAATGCAATGTAATCCTGCTTTACGTCAAATAAATATTTTTTCGACTTATTATCGACCCCTTTTATTTCATTCAACGATACACCCTTCATAACTGTTTTGGGGATTTTCTTTAACTAAATGTGGTTTACGACTTCCTGATCTGTGCCAGTTTTTCATCCTCTTGATGCCTACTGTCGTTCCTCTGAATTTATCGCACCCTGTATATATGCTGTATAAGGTTATTATTCTGTGTTCTGCTCTGAATTATTCTATGTTTTACGTATTTGTGGCTCTATTTGATTTGTACTTACCTTATTATTGTTTAGTCACCAATTCGATGGCTTTTCTGTTACAGTAATGTACGTATGTGGCTGAAAGTTGATTTTTTTCTTTCCATATCTCTTACATACCTCTTAGTTAACTGACACGAAATATTTTAAAATTTTATTTGGGTTCAATTTGGGATAGGCACCTAGGTGTCTAACGCCGTTTCGATCACTATCGTTGTGCACCTTGAAGCCCAAATTTTAAAGTTC